GATTCCAGTCTTTACGCAAAGCTAAACTCACCTGCTGCTGGGTGTAGCTGTCAAGCAAACAGACAAGAGAGTGGTATAAATGTTCTGTCAGCAAGAAAACAAATACAAGTATCTCCCAAAATGTTGATCTTTATACTGACTTTAGATTATACTTTAAGAAATATGTGCAGGTGCTGTTTTAGTTAAATCTAGGAATGCAAGAACATCTGTTTGAACTGTAAAGCTATACAGCACAGTCAAAATACACATGCACACACACACACACGCGCGCGCGCACACACACACACACACACAGAAGACACAGTGACCTTGTATCTGTTTGTAGAGCTGTAGCTCAGCAGCAGCTCACTGTCAGGCCTTGAAAACATATCAGAGTGAAGCTGTCCCTGTCTGGCTTCTCTACACCACAACACACAGATTGCCAAAACACACCAACACACACACTTAGCACAACCGTACCTCTATGAAAAGCTCTCTGAACTGCAGTTTTTCTAAGCACATTTAATCTTATGCAGGTGCACTGTAATGTCATGCTTTCACTCTTGCTATTCTTTAAAAGAAAGGTAGCCTGTGCTCACAAGACCTGGTATTTGTGTATATGTGTGTGTGTGCGTGTGTGTGCCTGTATGTGAACAGTGGGTTCTTGTCTCCAACCAGGGACTGAGGTCGGCCGGTGAAAAGCCTCCATTGTGCAGAACAAGGGAGAGCACTTAGTGAGAAATCGAGGGAAAGAGAAGAAAAGGGAAATAAATATTAATAAATGAAGGGGTGATATATTTTAAAGTACCTTTCCTTTTAGCATATTTTTTTTAGAATTTAGATACAGTAGGATGGCTAAAAAAAAAAGGAGCCTGAAATCAGAGAAAAGCAAAAGGATAGAAAAAACTGTAGGCATGCGGAGATACACACACATTTATACACATCTTAGATCTTAACCACTTAACAATTTCAGGCCACAAGAGCCAGCAATTTGGGGAAGGGAGAGGGAGGATGCTGTTTGTTAGCATAGATAATTAAATTCTTCTCCCTCCTCTAATATAGATTTTCAAGGAAGATTTGAGGGCTCAGAACAAGCACCCTGTTGTCCATTGCCAAGGCTAAATCACCCTCTAGGCCTGTGGAGATGAATGGTTGTAGTGCAGAGTGGAGGAGAAAATGTCTTTGTCAATGAGGGTTTTTCAGCAGAGGAAATTGCTTGGTGAATTTAAGGAAAAACACAAATTAGCCCGATTGTGTTCCTCCCAGTCTAATTTGGACCGTCTCTCTTGCTTTTCTTTCTCTCTCTCTCTACTATCTCTTCTCCCTTTCCCACAGTGCTAATATAATTGACCCGGCAATTTCCACGTCATAATCATGTGGAAACAGGCAGTCAGATAATGTTCCATCTCAGGACTTTATAAGATTTTATATGAAGCTCCAATGGGAAAATGATCCAGTAAAGTGCACAAAAGGTTACGATAACATCTTATTCATGATGATTTGAGTGAGTGAGCCAATCAAAAGAGCAGAAAGTCTGTGTGTTTCCAGACAATGAGATGACAGGTTTACATTTAATTTGCCCAAAACTAAAACTGAAACTGAAACTATGACAGAATTTGATTGTCTCCTTTCTTCATTTAAAGAGGCTCTAAAAGTTCATCTACTTATATCTTACTCCGATGAAGGATTTAAATTTTGGAGACTGATATGATAGCACATAAAATTTGAAAGGATAAGAAGATAAGGTAGAAGGTGCGGGTGTAGGTGATAAAAAAAGAAGTGTGTAAAAAAGAAAAGAGAGCCAGGGGCATGTGTTTACTACTCATCTCGCACCTTCACCTCTCAGTGGCGTATCCCACACCTTGGTAAATAGTTTATGGGGCTGCCATGATGACACACACAGCCCAACCAGACACAAACACACACAATCACACAACACAAACATGCTGTAAAACAGATGATGTTTATACAAAAACAGGAAGTTGTGTTGTCAGGCAGGTGTGAGATGCAGAGATTGTGTCCTATGTGCTAATCCAGCTGCTATTTAGCAAGTATTTAGTTTCTGTCATTTTTCAAGTAAAAATGCCAAACCTTTACTTGAGCGAAACGAGACATTTAAACATGTCATCTCGGGAAGATAAACTGGTTTCTGACATTTTATAGACTAAATAATTAATCAATGAATTGGGAAAATAATCATCAGATTAATCGATAACGAAAATAATCCTGTTTGCAGCCCTGGTGTGATCAACCAATTACCAGTATTTCACCCTGACTTTCTTACAGCTCACATTATGTGAAGAGGTAGAACAAGAAAATTAAAATTCATATCTAGCACTTTGTTAAAACATTGCTCTTATGACTGCGTGTCACCAGCAGCTTTGTGCAGAAGTGTATATAGTTATATAATTCACAAATATAATCCAAAAATAGTTATACATCAGGTTGTCCTTGAGGGCTGATGAGCTTACCAGTGGCAGTGTGTGAAGTGTTTTTCATTTTAAATCATTGCAGAAGCATATGCTCTGTGTCCTGCCTCATATATTTCAACAACTGATCACTGAACATAAAATGCAAAATGCACCACCTGTCTGATACTGTTTATGGCCTAGTTTTAACTGCTTCTGTAATGGCAGTAGAAAAACTTTTTACATTTTTGATTGGGTTTGTTAAACTGTTGACACTTCCAGACTGCTGATGACAAGTTATGATCACTGGCTGAAGACCTAACCCTCATTATCTCCAAGTCAGCCCGAGTTAAATTACCAGAGATTAAACCAGTGTGCATGTACACTTTACATCAGCACACAGCCCTCTAGCAGGGAGTATGTGTGTGGTCATGCAGACTGTTTTGAAAGTGAGCTGTAAAGTTTGCGCAGATGCTGATGCTGCTTGATTACCCTGTATTCTCATACAACATGTTTTCTGACCCATCCTCTCTGTGTCAAAGCTCCCTCCCACCTGCACCTCAGCATTGCCCTCATTTTTTTTATTTTTTCCCAACCCTCACCACATGAGGGGAGAAAACGGTTAACAATGCTCAGTGAACCCACTGCTTTTGGTTTTCATTTTGCTCGAAGCCGCTGTTCAGTGCAGTAACTTGACTGACAGTGTGTCAGCTGTGTTGTAGTCAGGCGTGTATGAGTGATATGCGTGTACATAAATGCATTTGACCTGCGCTGTACCACACATGCTGCTGTTGTGCCTTTGCAGCAGCGGATTGAAACTCTCAAGTGTGTTCATCTTGACTCCCCGGGCTATCTTTCAAACACACACACACACACACACACACACACAGAGGAGCAGTGCCAGGTCCACTCCTCTACGTGCCCGTGTGTGTGCTGGAAGCGCCAAGTGCGTCTTGCGAGCTCTTGTGTGGAGTGGGATTATGTTAATTTGTACTTGGTGTAGGCACTCTCACCAAACGCCTGCTCACAATTGTCAAGAGACACTGACAGAAAGAGAGGAAAGGAGGGAGCGAGTAGGGAGTTGAAAAAATGAGTGGGAGAGAGGTAAAGGTGTGAGTGATTTGGAGAGGGAAGAATAGAGTGAACTGCAGAGAGATAGCTTGATGGAAGGAGCCATAGAGGCCTGAGGCTGAAGGAAAGAAGTGGGGATGGAAGAAAATTAACAGAATTGGGGATAGTGAGGAAAAGAGAGAAAGAAAAATGACTGGTGAGACTGAATCAGGTGGATAAGGAAAGCATGGGAATGTGAGCAACAGTCACAGATCAGAAAGGTGGAAGATTTGTAGAGAAATAAGTGGAATGGGATGGAGGTTTCACTTCAAGCCAATGCCACTGGCATCTCTTTTAAACCACCTTCTCACTGTGATTCTACTCTTCTTTTTCTTTTCTTTTTTTTGGCATTTTACTTTTATTTAACAGTGAAATTAGAGAAACAGATCAGAAATATGCAGCAGAGGGAGGGGGAGTGAGGGAAATGAGGTTGCATGGCATGTGTCCTAACCTTTAAGCATTCAGACACTTCTTTTAAGCTTATTTAAACCTTCATAACTAAAATGAACCAGTGGTTTCTTCCAAGGTGTCGCAAGATAACCTTAGAGATCGCAAAATGGTTAACAAGTTAAGAAAGAAGTAGGAAAAACATTTTGATACATACAGTGATGGTTATTTCTTTTGGTTTGGTGATGAATAATATAGAAGTGCCCAATAACCAAACCAGCATGAATTCAAAAAGCTCTAATGCTCGTGTGCAACAGTAGCATGTGCAAAAAGTTGCTTCCCATTTGATCAGAAACAGTCAGAGTCACTCATCAGTTGTTTGCACCTCAGTTGGACCTGGACCAGTGTTTACCTGCCATGAGCACAGACAAGTCGTCCTGTGGGGATTGCTGTGTGTGTGAGCATGTGTGAAGTGCTGCCAAAGCTGAGGCTGCGCTCAGTTAGGAATTCACGATTGGGATGAGGCCAAGTGAGAGTCACTCTGGAATTGTTTAAAGTTGGTTATTCTTGCAGATTTAAGCATGTATGAAATGGCTATTACTGTTTTGTCTCTTGGGTTTCCCACATGTTGAACTTAATCCTGTGTGAGAAGACCTACTTGGTGTATGTTCTCTGAGAAAACAGCAACACCTGCTGGTGAATATTGGTATTGTCAGCTTGTAATGATCCTTACTTAGGTATTTCACACATTTTTTTTCACATCACTCCGTATCAGAGCTTGTTAAGATAACACTGAACCTCTCACTGCAAATTAAGAGGAGGTTGCTGCTATTAATATACTTGCACTCGTGATTTGGACAGACAGAGAGTACTCAGGGTAACAGCGTTTCTATTTGTGCATTCAGCCAGTCATGTGGGGGACAAGGGTGTTAGGATGATCCAGCATGCCAGGAAACTATATATAAGTACTTGGGTTTAAAGCACCAAGTATATTTGAGGAAGACACCTAATCGTTACCAGCCTGACCCTGACATCTGAACTCATTGTGCAACTACAACATTAATCATCAAACACATGACAAAAAAGTAACCTAATTTTGTTAATCTCCTGTTGTAGGCCCAAAAGAATGAGAGGGAGTCAATCAGGCAGAAATTGGCCCTGGGCAGTTTCTTTGATGATGGTCCAGGCATCTACACCAGTTGCAGCAAGAGTGGCAAACCCAGCCTGTCCTCACGGTAAGACCTCTGACTTCAGTCATATTACTTCTTTTTTAACCAATAAACATGTGACTTGCATTGGGAAAACACAAGTTGTGGGTTTACTAGTACTTTTTGTGGTCCCATAGTTCTCTGAAGAAGGGTTTACTGAGAGGTTATCCTACTCAAAGATGAAACCAGTACTGATATGTCAATAGACCATACATTTCCGCTGTATGTGCGAAGGTTAAAAAAAGAAAAACAGGACATAGGGTATGAATCTAAAAGTCCTGATTTACAGTCATGGCTACCTTTAAAGAAAGAGCAGACATGGAGGAAGAGAGAATGACAGGAAGCAGACAGGATTTGTGCAGTGCGAGGGAGCCACACGTAATCAGCCCTTGTGACTTCCCAAATTTGCACTCAGGCTGCTACCACCTCCTACACTGTACCTTACTGGAACTAAATGTTCTCAAAACACTTCTTGTGATTTGAACCACGTGAATTTTGCTGCAGCAAATTGATGACTGATTGTGATGCTTAATGCCTCATTGATCATTACAAGGAAATATTCAAATGACAGTTCTGTGTGAAAATATGATATGTTTTTCTGAGACAGTAAGTCATATTAAAGTCGGATAATCCTGGATTTATGAGGTGGATCCTGTTATCAATATTTCAGTTTTAATTTTGGATTCATTTTTATATACATCTCATATGTTTGTTTTTTTAAATAATTGTGACCAAGCTATGTGCTGAGTGGGACATCAGTCTCGCTGTTGGACAAACTAAGAGATGGAAGCACTATTCCTAATTTACCTCAAACATATCTTTGGCATTTCTGTCCATTTCTTTCTACTTATTAACTGACATATTCACCAGTACTAATGTATCTGCACTGTACACTTTATGATATCATCAAAGTTAGTGGCCTCTATTATCTATTAAATTCAAGTTACAGGGTGCTTTTTGATGCTGCTTCACGCAGGGGGGAAAAAAAACAACAACAACGATCGAAACACTCAGGTCCTGTTTTAATTGGAAGTGATTGGATCTATACTGTGTAATCAATCAGCCCTGTTTGTAATTACTGTATTGAATAAGCAGATTATTGATCCACAGTGGGCTGAATCTACACCTAGTGATACTCTGCTCCTCTGTGGCACAAAAACACCCCCACCGGTCTCAGGCAGATTGGAGCAGACCTACCGGAGGCAGCCTGGATCGATCCATATTGGAGACAAGAGGGGAGATGATTAAAAACACAAGCCCTCTTTAATTCCATCTTCAGCTGGTTCTTTTCTCTAGTGATGAGAGCATATTGTTTCTGTTAGGATTTTCTTTGCTTTTTTCTCTTTTTTTGTACTTATTTCTCTCTAAGTATGCATATTCACAATGCTCTCAATCCTTTATTTAGACAAAGTACTTTATTGAACTCACCGTACATCATTTGTATTAGCAGCAGTGCTGATGACATTGTTGTCTGTTTTGGGCCTGGTCCGAGTCAATTACTGCAAAAGCAGCTAATGTTGAACTGGCTTGACCCTTATCTGCATTTATGTTAATATTAACTTGTCTCCCTCTGTTTCAACCACTCTCTATCTCTATCTGTCTCTCCCTGTAGGCTGCAGAGCGGGATGAACCTACAAATTTGTTTTGTCAATGACAGCGGCAGCGACAAGGACAGTGATGCAGATGACAGCAAGACAGAGACCAGTCTGGACACACCTCTGTCCCCCATGGTACACACTGATGCCCAAGGCTGCACTCCGAGGCTCATGCAGAGTTATTATAGTATTTCTCCAGAATGAAAGATATGCACTTAAATCTTGAAAACGCAACAAAATGTGTCACGATTTAAAGGATTGACGGTGTAAAGATCTGATCAGTGTAAAAGTGAGAGCAGTGAAAAGGGTGAGATATTCACTTTGAATCAGAAAGGTAGCTGGTGGATTTGATGCTTTATGAATGTCTTTTCTCAAGTTTTCTGGCCTGTTAACCAATTCACGGGCAGCAAATGAGAGGTGAATTGGAATACGCTCACCAAGGCCACGGATGACTGGTCACATTAACCTCCTGTCAGCCTGAGACACATTTAACAGAAACAGAGGGAGAAAGAGAGAATTATCATCTCTTTACATGTTCATCCTCGCTAACTCTGACATCCCAGCTGATGTACAATGAAGTTCTTGTCAGTGTGTAAAATCTACATACGAAAAAAAGACCAAGAATACATTAATCCTCTTACCAGGTTTTTCTTATCTTTTCCTCTTTTCCTCTTACCTCATTCTCACCCCCTTTCTCTTACCTTTACTATACTTTTTTTCCCCCTTGTTTCTTATTCCATTCACTTTCTCCTTCATATTTTATTCCATCTTGCCATACTTGTCATTTCTCCCACTTCCTGCTACCACCTCCTCCCTGCAGTCCAAGCAGAGTTCGTCTTACTCGGACAGGGACACCACAGAGGACGACTCGGAGTCTCTGGAGGACATGGACTTCCTGAGTCGGCAGAAGAAGCTGCAGGCGGAGGCGAAGCTTGCCCTGGCGATGGCCAAGCCCATGGCCAAGATGCAGGTGGAAGTGGAGAAACAGAATCGTAAAAAATCACCAGTGGCCGACCTGGTCAGTACCAGAAATCTGATTCTGCCTTGACTGTTAAAGACAACTTCACAAAAAATAGCAAACACTTGGCCATTTTTTTTAAATCACTGCCATGTTCTTTGAGTTTAGCATGCAAATATAAAACACCAAGAGATTTATGGATATTGAAAATGTTTAAGAGGAAAAGGATGAAGTATATTTGCTGCTTTCAGATTTAGTTTCTACTTATTTGTTTTTAATTTACCTACTAAGCAGCTCAGTATTTTTATATTAACAAAGGATCATTTGAAAGGGGTGACTCATTGTGCTGAGAATTATTGCTAGACTCTGTGGTTCACTTCAGCTTTATAGCACGGAAAAAACTCCAGCACCAAACGGCCCACAGACAAAATGAGTGATTAGCTGATGAAGAAAGTGGAACATCTGGAAAAAACAAGATATTTTTCTCTGGAATTGGTGGAAAGGAGTGGGATTATTGGCCTGATGTTCACCTAGTTGCCAGAAACATCACTCCATATGAACACTAATGTTGCTCCCTATCTGCTGGATGTATAAAGCAACGACTTGCTAACAAGTTTTCCATTTTAATTAAAAGGTGATAATGTTAGTGTTGTGTTGACAGCTCGTTTCCCCTGCCCCCAAGTGGCCAAGAAATCATTGCAGACTTAAAACCATCATCATCAACAAGGCCTACATAGTTTTACAGACTGTCAATATGCATGTTACAACCACCAATGTTCTCAACAGCTCAAGTTCCGTTTTGCTCTTAGGCCACTGTTCAGAGGTGTATACTATCTGCTAATAGCAAAAACTTCTTTACTCTGATCAGTTATTTCAGTGTTTTCTGTATCAACCATAAACTATATCGTTTTTCATGGAGTGTAGGCACTGTGACATCATCAGCCTAGTTAATGCAACTGACCAATCAGCTGGCACAACTGATATTTATTAATCTTTGTTTCCTCTACCTGCTCCTGATGATAGTTTTAACTCCTTATGCTAATAATGTAGGAAGAAGGTTTTGAAATTAGCCCCTGAGATTTTAACTGAAATGACAAATACTTTACAGCAGTGATGAGGCAGCTGACACAGCTTACACTGGACTGCAAGAAACGTTTTTGTTACTTCCTTTTTATGGTATTGGAACAAAATGTCAGACATATGTCAACATGTCATGCAGCATCACATGTTTTACTATTGCATACATATATATTGCCCTTTTACAAAGGGTCCATCCATTGATCCATTAGTCCATCATATGTCAGAACAGATGTGAGGGTTGATTTTCAGTGAGATATGAGTATTGAAGAGTTTAACAGGTCAAATATATGTTATGATGATGTCACAGGAAGCCTCCCCCACCCCTCCTCTTCCCCTGCCCCTGCTTAGAGGAAGGAAGGTGATGACGACCCTGCTCATCATTATTTCATAAATTTTTATCTGCCTCACTGCCTCTTCCAGAGCACACACACCAACACCCCCACACTGTGAGACTTACACACACTCTATTTCCACCCGGAGTTGCAGGCAGAGCCACTTTACTTATTCAGAGAGGAGAAGGGCAGCTCGACCGGGTCCATCTATAATTCATACACCGGAAAGCATTGACTTCAGTGTTTAGGGATGTAGCAGTGCTCAGCAGTCAGAAGACATCACTGTCACATCCAGGCCAAACACACAGTGAATATTAAGATGTATTAAAGCTACAGCCACCTTCGATGTCCACAACACCAGAGATCTATTTAACTGCAGACATAACATACTAAATACTTCCCTGCAACAGTTATTCCTAACCAGGGCTATATCTGCAGTTGCCATGGGGATAAGTGGAAAGAGTGTGGAGTAGCTCAACTAATTTGGAAAAAAATCTGCTTGAAAAAATACACCCCTCCCAATATTATTAGAAATTGGTGCGTTGATTATCTTTAGTAGATTTACTGTCACATAACAATTAAGCTCCCAGCTATGACAGGCTGAAGGCACAGTGCACACCTGCCATCAACTGTAAAGCCGCGTGTTAGAGTACATTAAAACTTGATAGCTGGCAAGTGAGAAGTCTAAATAATTAGCTTAAAGTGATGGATAAATTATTGATATAAACATAGAAATTTAAATAATTAGGTAAAAGTAATGGAAATAATTACCTAAAACTTTGGATTGACAGGAGGAATAGTTAGCTGAAAATGGATAATAGTGGGCTAACAGTGATAGATGATTAGTTTGAATAATTAGCCAAAAGTAATACAGTTTACAGTTAATGAACAATTGAAACAGATAGCTGAAAGTAATGGATAAACAGTTCAAATAATTTGCTCTAAGTCATGGATAACTGGTTGAAAGGTCCCTCATGATAAACACTGACATTTCAGTTTCAGGAAAAAAAGATTGTAACAATCCAATTTATGTCATATTTCTAAACATCCACTTTAAAATCAGCTGAGATGAACACATTTGGAGTGTGTCAGTGAAGAGTTGGGGGGATTACACCAGACAAAAAATGTTAGGAACTCTGCTGCTGTTGTCACACTGCTGCCAGTTAGTTTAACTCCCAAGTTCCAACTAAACTGTTTTGTCCTATCTGCTTGTGAAGGGCAAATAATGGGACTTTAGCCAGCACAGTTAGCCTGTATTCCAGTGTCTGTGTGTGGGAGTGTGGGTTTTCCTAAATATGTACAAACAGAATCACTGAGAGAAAGCGAGAAATTCAGAGAGAGAAAAGAAATTAGGGGGAAAGATTAAGATTCTATGGTAAAATCTTGATTCTCTCTTTTCACTTCATTCAGAGAGGAGTGTAGTTCCTCAGTCTGATAACAAGTCATATCAGGAGGTTGGTTTGCCCGTATTGAGCATTTGTAACTAGTAGTATGATCAGTCTACCACAGAAACTCACTGTGGTCAGTCGACTTGCATGTTGAGTCAGGCCTAACACAACTCTACAACCTTTCCCGACACCCACTCACGTTGTCATTGACATCATATTTCTCACTATGTCACTCCTGAGTCATCAGCTTTTACCCATCTAGACACATGAAACTGAAACTGACACATGGCAGCCTCATATACAGTTGCATCAGTGCCAATGTGAAAGTGAAAGAGGGGTGAGAAACTAGAGGGGAGGAGGCAGCCAGATGCCCATGCATGCAAACACCTACAGCACACATTTCCTCACCTACTGTTTGTCAAGACTGGAGATGAAAGTAGGAGGGAAAGAGGAAATAAGTGTTGGAGGGAAAGAGAAAGAATGTAGACTGGTTATATGGGAGTGTTGGCGGAGGGAGAGTCTGGTAAACAAATAGTTGATTATCTGCCTGTGTGTGCTTTCTTTGGGTGCACACAGGCACATGCTTTATGTAATTGTGTTGCATGTGGTGGCTATACTCTGAGTTTGACTGTGTTTGACATGGAGCCACCGCTGGCGGCAATGGGACACATACTCATGACGACATACACAAAGCGAACAGAAGCACTGGAAAACATGGAATTCAGTTTTAAAAGCCTTGTATATTAAAGGTAATATTGAAAAATAAAAGGTACTGTTTGGAGCCATATTTGCTCAGGGGCTGATTAATACAGTAATTGGCACAACTACAACTCCAAAAACTTCCAAGGCACCGCAATTATATGGAAGCTTTTCATTTTCACTCATAGGGAAATCATGCGTAATTTCTCACCCTTTATTGTCACTTCACCTTTGTCTGTGATTACATAACCGATGTTTTCACAACTGTGGATGGGTGGGATTTTGTGATAAATAGTAAAATACGAGGGAATCTAAAGACTTTCAGTGAAAAGAGAGATCATATTTCAAAAGTAAGAAGAGATAAGAAGTCAAATTTACCATGTTACCATGTTAGTGCATTCTAACGTACATAGAGGGGTAAAAACACTTTGAATAACGGCAGTATCACTGGTGACCTCTTCTCACTGAGTTCATCTGCTGTTTATTTGTGTAAAACACTGTAAACCAGTTTGTGACCACAGCAGCACCTACTTGAAATCCCCCAACTTTACAGTCTCCCTACGCAGGGTGCTGACCTCCTAAAAGAAAAAGAGATATTCCCTTTTGTTTCATCAAGGGCTTTATGAGAAGAAACAAAGAGACTGGAGAGAGATTGTTTCTCACACAAAAAGCAACTAATGAAAACGTAAACAATCACTTCAAATCAGGCAGCAGATTGAAGTCGGATTGTCATTCAGTCAAAACATCTGACTCTTTCAGTTACTAATTTGATTTTTTCTGCTGATAATTCATGCAGTTGTGGCTTTTGACCATATTTCAGCAGATTTAGAACTACATCTGGCAATTACATCCATCACCAATAACATGTTCATTATTCTTTTTCCGCGAATAGATTGTTTAGTATAAAGTGATTAAGTGATAAATTGAAAAAAATGTCATTTCTTACAGAGGGGAAATCAGAACCACCTCACATTTGAGAATGTGGCACCAGTGAATGTTTGGCACTTTTGCTTGATAAATGATTTAAAAATTAATTGTTCAAAATGAATTTTTCTGTCAGTCCATCAGTGTTTTAGAGAAAATCACTGACTAATTGTTCAAGAACTCCATCACTGCCAGTATTTGTGCCTAATGCAGTGAAATACATTTCTGAATTCATTTTGATTCTTATTCATTTAACAATATATCCATGGATTTTAGATTATAATAGGTTTCCTTGTTTTCATCCATCCAGGTCTCAACCCCCTGTGAGAGAAAACAGTGTGTCTGATGTGTGATTGCTCTATGTTTTTTGGCAGCTTCCACACATGCCTCACATCAGCGAGTGTCTAATGAAAAGAAGCCTGAAGCCCACCGACTTGAGAGACATGACGCTGGGTCAGCTCCAGGTTATAGTCAATGACCTGCACTCCCAGATTGAGAGTGAGTTGACCACACACACACACACACACACACACACACACACACACACACACACACAGTGCAGTAGACACACACAGTCACTGACCTCTACTTTCAATTGCAGAAATGAGCAAGACAGCACATGGGGAAAAACATGCACATGCATACTGACCCCTACCATTTTAAGTGGATGTGAAAGTACTTTTATATATGTTAGTCAGTTCAAAGAACTGTACCAGTTAACAGCTTCCCCTGAGCATTTACTGTTACTGCACTGTACACATCATTGATCCTGGTACTCTGTGATGAATAATCTCTCATTTTACATAAAGCAGCTACAAAAATCCCCATGAGTCCAAAATGATGAGCTAGTTTTTACTTACAAAAGAGACTTTCCCCTCAAAATCTCTTTTGTTAGTGATCTATATTTTCTGGCAAAGATGAGGGAACAATAGCTGAAGCATGTGATGTGAAAAGAACCACAACCACTGATGTGTGGTCTGACTGTCAATACTCATCATGCTTTCGATGGCTTTGTGAGGTTATTTTATGAATCCATCGTGGGAGATTTCCGCCTGTCACACACAGTATTTCATGTGGATTTAATGTCCATCAATTGATGAGCTCACAAAAGAATATGTGTTATGGTTCTGTGAATGTGATGGGGACAAATTCCTACTCTGTCATAATGATACATCTGTAGTCTGACATCATTTTTATATGATTTGTCATATTTTCTACCACTCCAGGTCTGAATGAGGAACTTGTACAGTTGCTGCTGATCCGAGATGAGCTACACATGGAGCAAGATGCCATGCTGGTTGACATAGAGGACCTCACCAGGTGATGAGGCAATTCATGAGGAACTTATTTTCAGCATTTACCACTATTATTTCACTCATCTATCAGAGAGTACTTGACAAAACGGTATAGAATAAAGTTGAAAATAGTCTAGATTTTTGTTATTGTCAAGAAATCTAATGTAAAAGACCAAAGTCAACATTGCATTAGTCCATCTCTCAACACTTTCACTCTCTTACTCTTTCTGTGTCTCTCAACCTCAAGCCCATTAGTTCCTACTGAATATGTAAATATTTAAACATAAGTACCAAATATATAGCTTAGATTTTTTTAAGGCTAAGTGATTTCATAAAACAGTTGGAGACAGTAGTTTTTAAAAGAGTACTTCACTGATTTAGGATTGCACAATTTTCAGACTATAAAAAAATGTAAGTAGGATGGTTAGCTCACTTCTTTCTAACTCCACGCCCCAGAATTTCTTCCATTTTAAAACTTGGCATCGACCCACTGCCCCCTCTGGTTCTCCTTGAGGGAGAAGACCAGTCCTCTGGGTCAGGATGTGCTGGCACACGCATGGCCGAGAAGCCTACTTTATGTTCAGTTCCTCTGATATTGCCCACACTTCAGAGAGTGCTCCAAGAGGGCCAAAGACTTCTGCTGGTGGCCCCCTTCTGGCCAGCGAGGACGGGGTTCCCCCTGCTGTGCAGGCTCTGCCATGGCTCGCTGTGGCGCCTCCCCGACAGAATGGATCTCCTATCCCAGTTAGGGGGTCAGATTTGGCATCCCAATCCTTGCCTCCTCCAACTGTGCATTTGGCCACTGGAGGGCCCGAGCCACTGCTGAACGCTTGCGTTGAGGCAGTCAGAAAGACTATTGACAGCGCCAGAGCACCTTCCACCTGTTTACAATATGATAACAGGTGGAAACTTTTTTCACATTGGTGTGTAGGTTGTGGCGAGGACCCGGTGCATTGCACCGTACCTATCATTTTGGAGTTTCTCCAGTCCCTCCTAGATGAGGGCCGTTCTCCCTCTACATTGAGAGTATATGTGGCTGCTATTTCATGCCGGCACGCTCGGGTCGACAATAATACGGTGGGGAGCAACAGTCTAGTGTCCCTTTAAGAGGGGCTCGGAGGGTGTGTCCCCCAAGTCCTCCAAGAGCTCCAGTCTGGGACATGCCCCTGGTGTTGGATGCTTTATGCTCGCCTCCTTTTGAGCTCTTGACAGGGGTGGAGCTGAAGTGGGTGTCCGTTAAGACGTTCCTCCTTGCCATTTCCTCAGCCAAGCACGTCAGTGACCTGCACGCTCTGTCAGTGAGTGAATCATGTCTGAGGTGGAACCCAGATGGCTCGAGTGTCACTTTATGGCCGAATACGGCATTTCTCCCTAAGGTGCTGTCACACCTCAACCAGCCTATTCAGTTGGCACAGTTTGATCCCCCATCAGGGGAAGGGGAGAGGTCGAGGTTGCTATGCCCAGTGAGGGCACATTCTCTAGGTTCTACCAGGTGAATGTCGCCACCCCACATCCTCTGGGCGTGGTACTTCTGCCAAGTTCCTCTGCGCGTATGCCGTAAGGTATGTACTTGGGATTCCTCGGTACTAGTCATCCAGTGCTTGAAGCACCGCCTCTGGCTGTCAGGAAGGATGAAATAGAACGAGAGTTACGAATGTAATTACGGTTCTATGAATTTCTGGATGACCGCCAGAGTGTTCAGTCACTCAGAATCCTCGTGAGCTCGCGAGAAGGTTTGGTAGGAACTGATTCCCTGATGACACCGGAAGATATACCCTCTCTCGAGTCATCTGGGGTCACAGGTGACTTTGTTGATATTGAATACTCGACCTGCAAGACGGAAGATCCAGTGCTTGAAGCACCGCCTCTGGTGGTCATCCAGGATTCATAGAACCGTAGTTAAATTCCTAACTCTCGTTTTCAGCCCCTGCCGACGCTGGCCAAAGTGACATCACATGATGTGCTTTTCAGGTTTCAAGGAGCTTCCTCTGGAGCCACAAAGGCCTTACAACTTAACTAAGTACATTTGCAGTAGTATATGCAGTAGTATTCCCTCATGCCTGATGTGTAAAATCAGTTCCCCTTTAACATACATCACTTAAACATTAGTAAATAGTGTTTGGCTATTTTCAGCTGCAGATGTGGACCAGTGATCACTTAAGGCAGCGGGAAGATGGTTTTAGGACTAACTCAAAATAAAGTAGTGTCCATGTTCGTGGTAATAAAGAAATATATCACCCAGTACAAAAGTGTGACTCACTTGTGTTTTTAAAAGTTTCTAGGCAACACTGGTGGTCTATAGCACAAAGGAGGAATTAGCTCCAGCAAACTAGCTACACAGACAAAAGTTGTTAGTTGGATCAGTTCAGTGTTGGTTTTGGTTTGGTTTTTTAAATGACCCTATTTTCACTTTCTGTTTTCCAGGCATGCTGAGAGCCAGCAGAAACATTTGGCTGAGAGGACCCTATCCAAATAAAATGCCCGTCTCCTGCTCCACCCTGCTCCCCTCTGCCAAGCTTAGCCCCTGTTCCAAACCAGACTTTTCCCCTCTGGCCATTCCACCTCTGCCCCGAGTTGATCCAAATCCCGCCCGCTTGTCCCAAGTATTTTTCTCCTCGCTGCTCCCTTGTCTCTCCCTTGTCTACCTTCCTGTCCAACCCACTGACTCCAGTAGCAGCAGCAGCACAGAAGAAGGCCACTCTCTGTCATTTGCTTCTGTGGTTTTCTCCCAGCGCTAAGGACGGAGGAGCACTTCCTGCTTCGTGGGAGAAGAGGATTGTGTGTTGTCATGGATTCTGTCCCCAGCTTCCTGTGCAGTGATCGGCCTTGCTTCGCTATTGTTTCTTTTTAACTTTCTACATTCGCCACTAAATTATAACTGTTCAAATGCAAAAATTGTGGGAAAAAATAAAATAATAGTGAAAACTTTAGTAGAAAGTCATTCATGAGAAAAAAAAGAAACAACATTGTATAAAAAATGATGGAAAACTAACTTCTTCAGACCATTTTAAGTTGGACAGTAATTTTAAAGTATTTCAAAGTCGACCTGTTTTTATTCTGCACAAATGGTAGTTTTCAACTGAGAAATGTTTATTTGAAGGTGCTAAAAGAGTGTAAAGGAAACATGCCTGCCTTGTAGTGGAGTCGTAGCTTTTGGTAATACGTTCACTCTAATTGCTCTTCAACATTTTGTGAATGTTGATTTTCTGACACGAGTCATTTTAAATGAATAAGTGTGTTAATATCGTTTTCATCCTATTGTATTCAGAAACTTTATTTGAGGAAAGAAATGTTTATGTACAGATATGTAAAATAAAGAATAAACTTTGTTTCATATATGTTGGTTTGTTGTGCAGTATGTTGAATTTTTACAGCTGCATTTTGCTGCATATCCGCTGGACGAATTTGTCCATTCAAATGAGCTTCCTCTTTCTAATGAACTTAGGAAGTCTAATCACTGTTCACAACTGCAGCGAGAGAACAAGACATCATCACATTACACATAGTATGACTCAACACACTCTGTTGCGGTCTTGCCTCATCATGACACTGGTTGTCTCTCACTCACTCATCTGTGCTTGGTTCACTGCTCTTAAAGTGACACTATATTAACTGGGCAACCCCTCTAAAGTCACAACAAGGATAGTTTCTTTCACATGAAAGATATTAAAACATTAAGAATGGTCACTTTTGGTTTAAGGTATAAATATACAGAACCTATTCAATATGACTGGATGGGTCACTAATAAATACAGTGTTATTTTTCATGTAAAATATGATAAATGTTTCTCTGAGCAAGCACCCCTCCCCCCAGTCATCTGTATGAACATATACTGTATGTAGAGCATGATGGTAAGTTTCAGTGGTTAATGGTCCTGCTGTGAAACCAGAGAAAGGCCAGGAAACTCCTGTCAGTCACTCACTGAACACTGCAGTTTCAGAGCGTGTGAAATGCTCACATATCCTGACAACTGGGACTGGAGGATGTAAAGAGAGGATAACATCATGCTTTATCTATCAATGATAATTTCACATTTTTATCATTCTGAGCCATGTGAATTTCTCACATACTGATTAACAAACTGTCAACATACTGCGCCTTCTGAGGAAAGAAAAAGTTCATTGAGAATGAAAGTTCATTCTTGACTGTGGAACACCAGCAGGTCCACTGGTGTTCTGGAGCTTTCAGTGTATTTTTTCTGTTCATTTTTCTTATTCATCTCCATTTGAAGGAATTTTCTACTTTTCTTTTTGTCTTCCACACATAAAGTATAACCTACAAATTGATTATTTTACCATACATGAAACAAAATAAGTTAAATTAATACCTCTCAAAATCAATCTGACATACCAAACATATAACATTGAAAGAAGAATTGTCGGGATTCTTTCCTTAAACAACAATAATACCACAATGTAAGAATGGTCTGTTGCAAGTGAAAGTCCTGCATTAAAAAATTTACCTAACAACAAGCAGACTTTTTACGCATTAATATACTATGATTTTTGTTGCCTTTATATGCTACAGAAGTTTTTATGCCTTACTATACTATGACATTGTATGTCTTACTGTACTATGAATTTATAACCTATTATACTATGACTTTTTATGCCTTAATATACTATGACTTTTTTATGCCTTACTATTACCTACAACGTTTTTTGACATTTTTATGTCTTACTATTCTATAACATTTTGGTACTTTACAATGAGTTTTTAGTGCCTTACTATATAGTGTGACGTTTTTTGACATTTTGATAACTCACTGCACTATGAAGTTTTAGGACATTTTTATTCCTTACTATACTATACAATTTTAAACCTTACTATACTATAACGTTTTTTGAAATTTTTATGCCTTAATATAGTATGACTTTCTTTGACATTTTGTATACTATATATACAATGACGTTTTTTGATATTTTTAAGTCTTGCTATAACTACTACATTTTTGGAAATTTTTATACTATACTATAATATTAGGCTTTTTGACATTTTTATGCCCTACTATACTATGATATTTTATGCCTTATTATACCACAACGGTTTTTTGACGTTTTTATGCCTTACTATACTATTACGTTTCATGCCTTACTTTATTTGGATGTGCTCTGATATTTTTGTGTCTAACTATACTATGATATTTTTTGACATTTTTATGTTTTACTAAAATTGACGTTTTATACCTTTCCATACGATGACGCTTTTTGACGTTTATGTATTACTATACTACAAAGTTTTTCAACATTTTTATGGCTTACTGTACTACGATGTTTCAAGCCTTACTATACTATGAAGTTTTTTTGACATTTTCATACTTTGCTTTACTATGATATTTTATGCCTTGCTATACTTTGACTTTTTTATTCCTCACTATACTATGACGTTTTTATGCCTTACTATACTATGACATTTTTTACATTTTTATGCATGACTATACTATGAAATTTTTATGCATTTTTATTCCTTACTATACTATGACGTTTTATGCCTGCGTATGATGTTAATTTTTTTGGCCTTGCCTTTTTGTGCCTTGCTATACTTTCAAGGTTTTGGATCACGTATGACATTTTTATGCATTTTTATGCCTCACTATACTTTGTTATTTTAGGCCTTACTATACTGTGATGTTTTTTTGATAATTTTATGCCGTATTGCAGTTTGACATTTTTCGACAATTTTATACCTTATTATACTAAGACATTTTTTTAACGTTTTTATGCCTTAATATACTATGACGTTATATGCCTGCATTTAATATCACTTTTTTTTATTTTATGCCTTATTAGAGTATGACATTTTTTGTAAATTTTATGCCTAACTGCACTGACGTTTTTTGTCTCATTATACTGTGATGTTTTTGATGTTTTTATGCCTTACTATACTATGACATTATTGCCGTCTTTATACCTTACTAAACTATGACGTTTTATGCCATAGTATATTTTGAGGTCTTTTAACAATTTTATTTTTTAACAATTTTTGCCTTGTGATACTATGATGTCATTATGCCTTACTATATTATGACATTTTCTAACATTTTTTGCCATACTTTACTATGACGTTTTTTGCCCTTTGCATGCCTTGCTATACTGTGACTTTTTTTTGACATTTTTTGCCTTATTATACTATGCCGTTTTTTTATACCTTAATATACTATGACGTTTTTTGTCGTTTGCATGCCTTGCTATACTGTGACATTGTTTGGCAATTTTATGCCTTATTTTACTATGACGTTTTTTATGCCTTAATAAACTATGACGTTTTTTGCCATTTTCATTCCTTATTTTACTATGATGTTTTTATGCCTTAATAAACTATGACGTTTTTTGCCATTTTCATTCCTTGCTATATTATATGATGTTTTTTGACATTTTATGCCTTACTATACTATGACATTTTTTTATGTTTTTATGCCTAACTATTCTATGACATTTTTTTATGTTTTTATGCCTTACTATACTATGACATTTTTTAATGTTGTTATGCCTTACTATATTATGACATGTTTTGCCATATTATACTATGATGTCTTTTGACAATTTTATTTTAAAACATTTTTTGCCTTATGATACTATGATGTTGTTATGCCTTACTATATTTTTGACATTTTCTGACATTTTTTGCCATACTATACTGTGACGTTTTTTGATATTTTTTGCTTTTTTATATTGTGAGGTTTTTAGGCCTTAATATACTATAATGTTTTTTGCTGTTTTCATGCCTTGCTATATGACGTTTATTTACATTTTCTGCCTTGCTATACGATAATGTTTTTTGACATTTTATGCCTGCATATGATATACCTTTTTTTATTTTATGCCTTATTAGAGTATGACATTTTTTGTCAATTTGATGCCTTACTACACTGACGTTTGGTCTTATTATACTTTGATGTTTTTTGACATCTTAATGCCGTACTACACTAAGATGTTTTTGACATTTTTATGCCTTACTGTACTGTGACGTTTTTTGACGTTTTTTTTGCCATACTATACTAGGAAGTTTTTTGCTGTTTGCATTCCTTGCTATACTGTGACGTTTGTTAACATTTTTTTGCCTTATTATAATATGACGTTTCATACCATACTATATATATATGACGTTATATAACAATTTTATTTCCTTACTATATTATGACATTTTCTGACATTTTTTGCCATACTTTACTTTGACGTTTTATACAATTTAATGCCTTAATATACTATGACGTTTTTTGACATTTTTTGCGTTACTTTAGTATGACGTTTTTTGCTTTCTTCATTCTTTACTATACTATGACCTTTTATGCCACAGTATAATATGACATTTTTTAACAATTTTATGCCGTACTATGTGATAACATTTTTGACAATTTTTTTACCTTACTATACCGTGATGTTTTTTGCCGTTTTTTGCCGTTTACATTCCTTGCTATACTGTGACGTTTTTTATGCCATACTATACTATGACGTTTTTATGACATTTTATGCCTTCCCATAAAATGTTGTTTTGTGACATTTTCATGATTCCCGATTAGTGTTTTTGAGAAAATGTATATTGGTGGTGTAGTGGTTTGCATTATGGCTTGGGACTGGAAAGGTTGTAGGTTCAAACCTGGGTTAGGACCCTCCTCAACTATGGCATATTATGATGTTTTTCAGCACTTTTATGCTTTATAATATTATGACATTTTATTCCTTACCATACTGTGACGTTTATATGACCTTTTATGCAATAATATAGTATGATGATTTTTTTGACATTTTATGCCATACTATGCTATGACGTTTTTTGGAAATCTTATGCCTTAATATACTATGATGTTTTTATGACATTTTATGCCTTCCCATACTATGTTGTTTTGTGCCATTTTTTGACTAATTACACTATGATGTCGTTATGCCTTATTATATTATGACATTTTCTGACATTTTTTGCCATACTATACTATGATGTTTTTTGAAATTTTTATGCCAAACTATACTATGTGTTTTGATGCCTTACCATGCTAGGACATTTTTATAACATTTTATGGCTTAATATACTAATATGTTTTTGTGACGTTTTATGCCATACTATACTATGACGTTTTTTTACATTTTTATGCCATATTATACTACGATGTTTTTTAGCATTTTTATGCCTTATTATACTATATCATTCGATGCCTTAGCATACTTTGACGTTTTTATAACCTTTTATTGCTTAATATACTAATATGTTTTTTTGACGTTTTTTGACATTTTTTGCCTTATTATACTATAACATTTTTTAGCATTTTTATTCTTTACTATACTATATCATTTGATACCTTACTATAATGTCGTTTTTAG